AAATAAAAGAATTGTTTCTGAATTAGGTTATTTCGACTAACAAATTAGCGTTAAATCCTAATTCTGGTAACAATATTATATAAAGATAATAACTTCTCACAATTATCATATCTTTGGATTTTCTTTTCATTTTAAAATTTGGAAGTCAAATATGCATGACTTTGATAAACAAATAAATGTAATTTTTAATATTCATAAACATACATAATAGCAGTATTATTTATTTCCTCACCTTTTCAATCAATGTTTTCATTTTTTTATAGCACTAGTAAGTTGAAGTGATGTAACTTATCAATATATAAATATATTAATAAAAAAATATTTAAAAATTAAAAATTTTATAATTTAAAAAAATTGAAAACTGTTGATGATGATACATTGATGGAATCTTGTGTTGAATTATCTGCTCAAGAGATATCTTTGACAGCATATGCGAATGAACCTTTTGTTATGACTGCACTTTACAATTTTTTTTGATGATAGAAAACAGTTGTCTTAAGCAGTTTTGACAACTATGACCACTTTTAGAAATCACAGCATTTGTGGATTTTTGTGGGAAAATTATCTAACCAGTTTGAATGCATGTTTGCACACCAGACAGAAGTGTGTCAATTGATGATGTTTTTTGGAATTGAAAAGAAAGAGTTTTCTGCATTGTTGAAACAACTGCTCTTGGAATTTCCAAATGTAAAGTGCTACAGATAATTATACATTGAAGAATTACCTGGCTGCAGAACCTCAATTACGACACAATTTTTTTTTTCCTGGACCTTCAGCTGGTCCAGATTTGATTTTTTTTATTCATTTTCATGATGGAACAAGCATTCGAGTGTGGTTCTGATAATCTACAACCTTTTTGTGGCATTGTTTTATTGTTAGTTGACAGTGGAACTCTTAAAAATAGAATTATATTATTATTGTGATTAGTTTGATTATTGTCAATATTAAAATCCTCTCATTAGAAACACACTTTCTCCTAATAAATCAATAATGGATCAATGAAAAACTCTTGGTGATTTTTCTTTAATCCAGATTTAATTTTATGATATAACGAATGAATGTCATCTCAAACCAATATCATCAACAACAAATAATAAAATCCAGCTAACTAAATAATCATAACAAATATCAATTTTAGATTTCTTACATTTCAAATAATGTTCCAGCGGATTCATTATATACATTTTTCCATACATATAATTTGTTGTCTTGTGCAGATGATAAATAATGTCCGAGTAAAGACCAAATAAATTGTCGAAAAATATCAAATTTATGTGAACCTGATGATGACTTTAGATTTAATTTAAACGATGATCCAGATAATGATGTAAACTATCTAGTACAACTTTTGTTTTTTACTATAATTCATAATGAAATTTACATATATATATATATATATATATATATATATATATATATATAGAAAATAAATT